AAAGTAAACATCATTACATAAAAGGGTACGGTCTTTTTTTTTTTTTAGTTTTATTCATTTCAAACGGGCCGGATCTGGCCAGAGGGCCGTAGTTTGCCCATGGCTGTTCTAGAGAGAAAGAAAGCATATAATTAAAATATATATGTATATATATATATATTTTGGCAGATGCTTCTGGCAGAGATGCTTTCTTTACTGCTGGACATGAGTGAAGTTGCTCCGGGAGTCTCTGGCAGCTGTCTTGCCACCACAAGGGCAGAGAACTCTTTAAAAAAAAAATCCAACATTGTTTGTAGTACAATTTCTTTTTCCATCTTAAGTTTCTCAGAGTTCTTGGCAGAGCCACGAAATGCAGAGAAAGAAACTGAGAACTAGTCATAGTCACTTGACCCAGGATCAACTTCTCTCTGAGGCAGATAAATTCCCAAATATTCTGTTATATGAAATCACAATGAATTGTTCTTATTGTTGGTTAATCTGAATCAGTTTCCTGTTACTTGCTACATAAAAAGTGACAGTTAATATAGTTCCTATTGTAATCAGAACATCTCTGCATTTATTTTGTTAGTTATTTTTTGACATATCGGGACTAACGTGTACATCGTTTAAAGAAAAAATACGACTGCTTAAGGAGATTGAAAAGCCAGAGATTTTCATTAATTTCAGGAGGGAAATATTGGTCAAAATATAGCACTTCTCTTTCTTCTACCTGATCTCCAAAGACACAGACAGTCGGCTCAAAATGTCAGCATTCTTTACTGACGGAGCTGCTGTGGTCATGACGTAGCTGTATCATCACAGTGACTTCCTAGTACGTCATTCCTGAACAGGATTTTGCGCTCAGCCAGGCAGTGCTGGGCCAGCACAGGCTTGTTCTCATGAAGCTCCTCACAGGCGCATGCAGACAGATACACACTCAGCACACAGGCTAGCTTCTAAGAGAAGGGAGGAGGGGCATGGCAAAAGCGCCCAGTGTCTTATCTCCAACAGCATGTCAGTCCTCTTATCTAGAATGAGATGAATGAGGGGCAGGGGCTGAGAGTCAAGAAAGCAAATATACAAAAATACGTATTTAGAATTGGGGCAAATACTAGGAAAGAAACAGACAAAGCCTTGTAAAGGAATAAATGGGTGAGGTTGTTTTAAAAGAGGTAGTCTGGAAAGGCTCTGTGAGATGACATTTAAATTGATATTTGAAGGATGAATAGAAGCCTGGCATTCAAATGAAGGGAGGAGGTTGGAGTCCGGCAGCATTCCAGATAGAAAGATCAGCAATACAGCCCGGTGGTTGAGCATTGACCTATGAACCAGGAGGTTGCAGTTTGATTCCCAGTGTGGGGCCTGCAGGAGGCAGCCAATCAAAGATTCTCTCATCATTGATGTTTCTTTCTCTCCCTTTATCTCTGAAATCAATACAAACACACACACACACACACACACACACACACACACACACACAGGGTTTCTTTTTTTGTTTGTTTTTTGTTTTTTTGTTTTTTAAAGAAAGATCAGCAAGTACAAAGGCCCCAAGATGGGGAAGAGTGGGGATGGAGGGCAGGTGGCACGATATGAAGCTGGAGATTTAGGCAAGGGCTGAACCATGAAGATCTGTGTTGGATGGTCAGGTGTTTGGGTTTTATTCCAAGTGCAATGGGAAGTTGCCAAACCATTGAAGAGTTTAAACAGAAAAGTGACATGAACTGATTTGTGATTTAAGAAGATCACTGTTTTGAAAATGAACTGGGCAGGTACAAGAACAGAGTCACAGAGGTCAATTGGGAGCATGTAGCTGTAGTCCAGCTGAGAGATAATGGTGTCCTAAACTAGAGCAGCAGCAATGGAGATAAACAGAAGGCTAGACAGTTTGCTGATGGAATAAATATTATTAAATATGGGAAGTAAGGAACATTTGATTGTTGATTAGGACAAAAAACAGTATTCCCTTCCTCTCTTCTTTTTTTCCTTCTTTTCCTTTTTCCTCCCTTTCTTTGTCTTATTATTATTATTGAAAAATCAGACAGAGGGCGAAAACCAGGACTACAGGCTTTATTAGAGGAGAAGCACCTGCCGGGCTGCCTCACAAGGGGAGGACAGCAGCACGTGCAGGGGTGGGCACGCCTTTTGAGGGGCGGAACGGGAAGGGGTGGGGGCTTAGTGTACTCGGCGCACACTGATTGGTGGCTTACTGCATTGTCCATATAGGACAAGGGCTTAGGGTATTTGGCAGGTGTGGATTGGTGGTCCAATGTATAGTCCATATAAGGTACGTGGTTAGTCACTCAGGTATTTCTGGGCTGCAGGTTACATCATACTCCACCCACCAGTTGGGGGAAGGGAGGATCTATCAATTATTCTTAGTATGGAAAGAATACATCAATATTTTACTTGTAGACATGTTAAGTTTGAGTTACTAGTACATAGTTGATATTCAACTGTATGAATATATAAATCTGGAATTTACATTTGGAATATACATTTGGAGATTATCAGCAATAGATGGCATTTCAAGCCATGGGAGTGACTGAGAGCACCTAGGGAGAGAGTAGATAAAGAGAAGAGGCCAAGGAATCAGATGGTCCCCAACATTTACAAGTGTGATAGGAACAAGTGTGCTAGAGAGAAGATTGAGAATGAGTAGCCAGGTGGGTAGGTGGAAAACCAGAGTATAGCATGATGGAAGGGAAGAGTATTTCGAAGAGGGCGGGGCCAACTGTATTACATGTACCACCAGAGCACTAGGAGAGGGAGACAGAGATGCTTTCTGCATTTGGCTTCCTAGAGGTCTTACCTTGCCCTTGACAAGAGCAATTTCACTGGGGGAAGGAAAGCTAATGGAAACAGAATTATAGGCAACCTTTCTGAAAGATTTTGCTGTGGAGGGGAGTAGAGAAGCTATAAAGAGAAGAAAATGTGGGACCAGGGGAGGGACGTGTGTGTGTGTGTGTGTGTGTGTGTGTGTGTGTGTGTGTGTGTGTGTGAGTTTAAAGATGGGAGATTTAAAAGCTGTTTGTTTATTATTGGAGATGATCCAGTAGGGTACACAATAGTGGCATGAAGAAGAAAGGGGCTAAGCAAAGCAATGAAGTCCCTGAGAAGGAGATTGAATCCAGAGCATAGTGCTGAGACTGAAAATGGAGAGCACTGGCCTGTTCATGTGCTTAACAGGAGAGAAAAAGGAGATGAGAGGAGTAGGCAAAAGAGATGAGGGAGTTTCCATCTGACATTTCTGTTTTCTTTTCTTTTTTTAATTTAAATTCTTTATTGTTGAAAGTATTACATATGTCTCCTTTTCCCCATTAACCTCTCCTCGCCCGCTCCTACACCCCCCTCACCCCCGCCCCTCCGCCAGCACATGCCCTCATCCCCCTACTGTCTGTCCATTGGTTATGCTTATATGTATGCATACAAGTCCTTTGGTTGATCTCTTACCACCACTGCCCCCCGCCTGCTTTCTATCTGAGGTTTGATGGTCTGTTCAATGTTTCTATGTCTCTGGATCTATTTTTGTTCATCAGTTTATGTTGTTCATTATATTCCACAAATGAATGAGATCATGTGACACTTCTAATATTTTAATGCTGTCATATGTAAACCAAAATTTGATTTTATTTATAACACTGTGGGGCTGTCCATAGACATAAATTCACACACATACACACACACGAACAACTTTCTTGGTTAGGACATGTGTGCAAAATTTTTTTACTGTAAGTACATTCTAATCAACCATATTTAGAATTAAATATAAAAGAACCGACAGTATTCTATAATTATACATATAATTACTGACATTTGAAATCTGCTTGGTTGAGTAAACCAGATAATTAGAATTTCTTGTTAAATAGGCTGAGGTTCCAACGTATGTAGGACTGAGTACTTTGCACAGAGAAAATATTCCCTGGCTAGAGAACTACATTCTTCACCTGGGCCAGGTATTTCAAAAATATGCTGTTTTGGTCATAAGGGAGCACAGATGGAGATGGAATGGGTGGGGAGAGAGATATTACACATGATTGTGCAATTTCATTACCACTGTTGGGAAAACAACACAAAGCCATGACCAAGTTGGTAACATTACCTCTGGCCTCTAAGGAACAGTACATTTTTTGGCTGACTATTACCCTCAATAATTTATCTTGATGTTACACAATGCGTTTCCTTATGAAAACTCAGGGAGCCCTATGCAAGTTACTTCATTTGTCTACACAGCGTTGGGAAGCTGAGAGCTGTTGTCTTGACCAATGCTGTTCCATGGAAATATGACACAGCCACGTATGTAATTTAAAATTTTCTAGTACCCACATTTAAAAAAGTAAAAAGAAACAGGTAAAATTAATTTGGATGTTATATTGATCTAACCCCAGATATCTAAAGTATTATCATGTCAACGTACAGTAAGTAGACATAAAAACTTGTTCATGAGATATATTGCATTCTTTTGTCCGTACTAAGTCTTTGAAATCCGTTGTGCATTTAACACTGAGAGCACATCTCAGTGTGGACAGCCACATTTCCATTTCAAGTGCTCAGGAGCCACATGGCACCTCCGCTTTAGAGAATACTGGAAAGATGATGCGTGGCCCCAGGATCCAAAGCCCAGGCTCTATTGCAAGGTAATATAATGTGAGTCACAATTTGTCATTTTCCTACTCAAAATCCTCCCAAGACTTCCCCTCACTCCTAGAACAACAGCTAAAGCTCTTACCTATGAGGCTGAATCTGATACAGCCCAGCCTCCCTTGCCAACTTTATGGCCTACCAATTCCTCCTCCTCTGCACCCACCCCCACTCCCACCCTTACCTCAGCATCCTGGCACTTCCTCCTCCTCAGGCCTGGAATGCATTTTCTCATGGCTCCATCCCGGAGTTCATTCAGGTATTTGCTGAAACTCATCTCAGGAAGGCCTTTGATCTAAAATAGCTCTCCTCTCTAGTCAGTCTCCAGCTACTTACCTGCTTTCTTAGTGTTCATTACAGTAGGCACAGAAAATGGTACATACATACTTACCTGGCAGGGGAGATATGATCACAAAGGTGGTTTTCCCAGGCGAGGCTGATCCACTGTGCTCCAGATGCGCTGACCCCTGAGATTTTCCCAAATGTGGGAAACTCGACTGCATAATTTGTGGTAGTGGGGGCCTGCATTCATGCTCTCCCTTACAATAAAAAGAAAATGTGCATGCGTATTAAAATGTGTTTGTCGTCTGTCTCCTACGCTAGCAAGTAAGTTCTATGAGGTGAGGGGCGTTGCTTTGAACACTGTTGGATCACCACCACCGGGACTAGTGCCTGGCGTACGGCAGGTTTGCTGACTGGATGAGTGAAAAGTGTCATTTTTGGCACATTGTTTAGAAGGTATAGTGCAGTGTTTAGAGTGTATACTCTGGAGTCAGACTCTTTGAGATCAAATGCCAGCCTATCTGCTTTCTATCTTTATTCCTTTGAGCAATTGCTTAACTTCTTTAAACTTCAGGTTCCTTATCTGGAAAATGAGAGGGTTATTAATAATAGCATCTAGCCCTAGACGGTTTGGCTCAGTGGATAGAGTGTCAGCCTACGGACTGAAGGGTCCCAGGTTTGATTCCAGTCAAGGGCACATGCCAGGGTTTTGGGCTTGATCCCCAGTAGGGGGCCTGTAGGAGGCAGCCAATCAGTGATTCTCTCATCATTGATATTTCTCTCTCTCTCCCTCTTCCTTCCTCTCTGAAATCAATAAAAACATATTAAAAAAAATAATAATAATAGCATCTATTTCATAGAATAATGTTGCTTTGGAGATCAAATGAGATAAAGTATTTAAAGTACTGTAATGAGGAATTGTAACCCACCCCACCTTCTTTTGACATTGTTTCTGTAATTGCTTATTGTGACTAATATGTAGCTTGTAGATAAACAGCATGTTTATATAAGAATCCTAGGAACTAACGTCAGAAGACACAGATCCCAACCGTTAAGTCATCCCAGGTCCAGGAGACTTGCTGACCTTCCACCACAGAAGCAGCATGACGAAGACCAGGATGATGCACACCAGACCATCACTTGACCAGTTTCAAGATCGTTATCAGAATGGACCATGCTGGCCTGCATGTAGAGAACTTTTCAACCCCCTTCCCCTGATCTCTTTGTTGTGCTTTCCTTCTCCCTCCGTATAAAAACCTCCGCCTGTACGGAGATGTTGAGATCGGCTTTGTGACAAGAGTCCCCCATTTCCTCAGGTGACCGGCACTTGATAAAAACCTCTTTCCTTTTTCACCAGCATCTGTCTCAAGCGTTTGGTTTTTTGTGATGGCAGGCAGCCAGAGTTGGGTTCCGGTTACAGTACCTCATCTAGTGTCTGGCTTATAATGAGCACTCAAGAAAATGTTCTAGGTGGCCAGGGGCGGGCTAGAAGGGGTCAATGGGGAAAAAAGGGAGACATGTGTAATACTTTCAACAATAAAGACATAAGTAAAAAGAATGTTCTGTTATTACCTTTAGTTAAACAGAGATTAAAATGAGTGCTATGGCTCTGCAGGCGTGGCTCAGTGGTTGAGCATTGACATATGAACCAGGAGGTCACGGTTCGATTCCTGGCCAGGGCACATGCCTGGGTTGTAGGCTCGATCCTCAGTGTGGGGTGTGCAGGAGGCAGCGGACCAATGATTCTCTCTCATCATTGATGTTTCTATCTCTCTCTCCCTCTCCTTTCCTCTCTGAAATCAATAAAAATATATGTTTTGTTAATAAACAAATGAAACAGCAGTCCTCCAATGTACCCTCTCCCATATCATTGCCCACCATTTCTTATGCTTTGCCTTCCCAGAGGCAACCACTATCAACTATTTTATCCAGTTCCTTTGGAATTATCCATGTCTCAAAAGAACATTCGCATTACTGTTTTAAAAATAAATTCTGTGACTTCCAACTCTAGGAGGTGAAAATTTAGCTCATTTTCAACAAATCCTATGATGTTCACCACATACACGAACACCTTCTTTGTCTTTTCAACATGACAGTGACTTCATTATATATTGATTTGATTTGACTTTGTAAATGTTATGCACACCTGGGCCATAAAGTATTCTATCCTATTAATACATACCTTTTCCTATACAACTTTTTTTTCTTGAGTTAATAATTGTCTTTTCGCCAAAACCGGTTTGGCTCAGAGGATAGAGCGTCGGCCTGCGGACTGAAAGGTCCCAGGTTCGATTCCGGTCAAGGGCATGTACCTGGGTTGCGGGCACATCCCCAGTAGGAGATGTGCAGGAGGCAGCTGATCGATGTTTCTCTCTCATCGATGTTTCTAACTCTCTATCTCTCTCCCTTTCTCTCTGTAAAAAATCAATAAAAAATATATTAAAAAAAAAAAATAATTGTCTTTTCCCCCTGTAACTTGGATTTTGTAACAAAGAGGCTTGACTCCATTTTTTATGTTTGACTGTTGTCAGCTTTCAATTTCCACTTGTTTTTTTTCCTATCTGCTCCACATCTGGGCAACTAAGTTAAGAATTCCTGTGTAATTCTTAATTACAACAGCTGATGGGAATTTCAAATAATGCAGACTAGCCCATGCCAAGGGAATTCCCCACTATTCTGACTCGACCATTTAACCACAAAAAAAGCCCCAAAACACCTGGCTCAGTGGTTGAGCATTGACCTATGGTATGAACCAGGCAGGAGGTCATGGTTTGATTCCCAGTCAGGGCACATGCCTGGGTTTCCAGCTTGATCTTTAGTAGGGGGCGTGCAGGAGGTAGCTGATCAATGATTCTCTCATCATTGATGCTTCTATCTCTCTCCCTCCCTTCCTCTCTAAAATGAATACAGATATATTTTTTAAAAAGCCAAACCACCTGTATCCCTTTGCTTATTTCTCATCTGACTGCTGAATGAGCCCCTTTTCTGCTGGGAACCCCAGCTTAGTGTTAGTACTAAAAATACTTTCTTTAGATTCACCATGAGTGTATTGTGTCGTGTGTCTAGATAGCCAATAAATTCCTGAGTGGGCAATCATGACACCACTTGGCAGACTGATCTATGTAGTCTCTACATACTTATCATTAATACATCTCCAAAGTGGTCCTACCCCCAATTTTATTAATTTCCCTCAAAATGCCGTAAACATTAGTCATTGTACCCAGGCCATTTTCTTGCTCTTTTTTTTTTTTAATATATTTTATTGATTTTTTACAGAGAGGAAGGGAGAGAGATAGAGAGTTAGAAACATCGATGAGAGAGAAACATCGATCAGCTGCCTCCTGCACATCCCCCACTGGGGATGTGCCCGCAACCCAGGTACATGCCCTTGACCGGAATCAAACCCGGGACCCTTGAGTCCACAAGCCGACGCTCTATCCACTGAGCCAAACCGGTTTCGGCAGGCCATTTTCTTGATGCTTCTTCTCCCAGGGCCTCTGCCCTGCTCCAGGTCACTGATTGCTTGACCTTTAGGTTCCTTCAGAGCTGCGGCCTTAGATGTTCCTTTCACCACCCACCTACCTTTCCCATGTGTCAGAACCTTATATCCTGGATTTCATTTTCTCTTTTCTTATTTTGGTTAAACAGATCCTCTGATAGCTTCCTGAGAAATGGACCTTTGCGGTAATGTTTTTGACCTTGCACGTCTGAAAAATCTATATACTACCTCCCCACTTAATAATTTGGCAGGGAAACGCTACATTAGAAATCATGGAAGGGAAAAAAAATCATTTCCTTTTGCTATTTTCTGGCATCAAGAAGTCTGAGGCTATTCTGATACTTGATTCTTTTTAGAATCCTATTTTTCTTTCTTGAAAGTTTTTAGAACATGGGGTGAGCAAAAGCAGGTTCACAGTTATAATACAAACAATGCAATAATTAATAAATAATAAGATGTGCCTCGGTGTGGGTTTATTTTCATCCATTGTCTTGGAAGCTCAATAGGCTCTTTCAATTTGGAAAGTCATGTTCTTTCATTCCAGGGAATTTTCTTGAATTGTTTTCTTTGATAATTTTTCCTCTCCATTTCTGCTGTTCTCTCTTCCTGGAACTCCCATATTGAATTTTCTGGACTAGACAGTAACTTCCTCATCTTTCTACTTTTTCTCTTTTCATCTTCTCATTTTACTTCCTGAGAGATTTTTCCAGCATTTTATTTTATTTTATTTTATTTTATTTTATTTTATTTTATTTATTTATTTGATTTACTTGTTTGTTAATCCTCACCCGAGGATATTTTCCATAATTTTTAGAGAGAATGGAAGGGAGGGGAAGACCGAGAAACATCGATGTGAGAGAGACACAACGATTGGTTGCCTCCCGCACACACCCCAACCAGGGCAGGGCTGGAACCTGCAGCCCAGGTACATGCCCTTGCCCAGGAATTGAATCCCAGGCCTTTTTGGTGAGCAGGTCCAAGCTCTAACCACTGAACTATACCAGCCAGGGTTCCCAGAAGCTTATTCAATCTATATGTGCCCCTTCCTCCTCTGCCCCTCCAGTTCCTGCCTAGGAAGTTCTAGAGTAGTCCTTTGAAAATGCTCCCCAAGTGCTGTGTACTGAATATTTATTCCCCGCCCCCAAGTCATACATTGAAACCTGACCCCCAGTGTGATGGTATTTGAAGGGTCTTTGGAAGATGATTAGATTAGAAAGGTAAAGTTGTCATGAATGGGATTAGTGCCCTTATGAAAGAGGCCCCAGAGTGCCCTCTCACCCCTTCTTCCATGTGAGGACTTGGTCAGAAGTTGACAATCCACAACCCGGAAGAGGGTTTTCACCAGAACTCAACCATGCTGGCACCTGATCTTGGACTTCCAGCCTCCAGAACTGTGAGAAACATTTCTGTTATTTACAAGCCACTCAGTCCATGGTGTTCAGTTATGGTGACACACGCCGATAAAACACCAAGTAATTTTGATATGACTCATCCTCATAGGTGAGGAATACTGGATGAAATGGCAGTTATGACCAAACTGCATGTTATTAAGCCATTACTGATGTTTGCTACAAATGGTTCGACAAGTGACAGCTGTAGAATGTTTAGTTCATTTACAAACACCAGCTAGAGTCGAAAGGAGCCTCTTTTTCAGAGTCAATTGTGCATTTTCAATACCACCATTTTCATTTCATAATGTAGGAAAAGGAAAAATACAGTGCTGGACTTTAGGAGTTTTGATCCACTTATTAACCTGTTTGAG